GAGTAGTTAGAGACCAGTGAAGACTTGGGGAAGGTGGGGGTTGGGGACGGAGATAAGATGGGATGGGTGATGGACAGGAGAGGGGCAGGTGGTGATGTAGGGATACAGGGGAGAGAGGTCTGGGAGGCTTCTTTACCTTCAGGGTCCATGACAGCCTGGAGCTGGCCGACTGGTGTGCCCACTGCTCCGACTAGTGTTTGGAGAGGCCGGAGACTGGGGGAGGGGGAGGGGCGGGTCTGACCAGCCCTGACCAGCCCTGCCCTGGTTCTCTGGGGCTCCCTCTGGCCTCCAGGACACTCAGTCACATAACTCAGAAGTCCTCTCCTCTCTGAGCCTCTGCCGACCTGTTCTCTCCACTCACCCAGCCTCCTTGACCCTGCCCCAGGGTGTGCTCCCTGTGATGGCTGGAGAGCGTTTTTGATGGTGCACTGGGGAAATCCTACTTCCCTTCTTTTTGATCGCAAATACTTCTTTACCTTTTTCTGCGCCTCCATTTCCTTAGCTGTAAAATGGGATAATACCAACCTCATGGCTTCAACTGAGAATCAAGTGAAAAAACTCTGTGGGTGACACAGAGTAGAAACTCAACAAAAAGCCACTTTCCTTCTCTTCCTTCTTCCCAAGGTACTTTAAGGGCCCTGAGCAGATCAGAGCCGGGCTTCTGAACAAGGAAACTGCCAATTATTGTACTGTGACTTCAGGCAAGTTCCTGTCCCAGAAGTGCTGAGGACTCCATTTCTTCATCAGAACCACTTGCTAAAGTCTCTGGGACCACTGATTGCCAGACACTGGCCTCTTCCCAGCCTTCTCCCATCTCTGCCTCTGCAGCATGTGACCCTGCCAGGGCTTGGACTTGGGTGAGGCAAGCAAGGGTCCTGGGGCACAAAACCGAAGAAGGCCTCACTCTCAAGCTCCATTTTGCACCTTACTGCCTTACTTGCCTCACTCTAGTCCAGGTCAGCTCCTGACAGCCCTTCTCCAAACTATTTCTCCCTTTTTCCCCCCAGACGTCATTTTCTCCTGGTTTCTCTCCTAAAGGTTCTTTTCTGTTTCCTGCAGGTCCTTCTTCCTACAGGAGGCCCTCAAACTGTGGTGTCCCCTCAGTGTGGCAGGACTGTTCCTCTTTTCCTCTTGGGCACAAGCTAAACTAATTTCCCAGCCTCCTTTGCATGGAGGCCACCATATGACTGAATTCTGTCCAATGGAATGTGAGCAAAAGTGATGCATGTCGCTCCAGTCTTCCCATGATCCTCCCTGGGAATGACAGAGCCACAAGATGGAAGGAGTCTGGATCCCTGAATGACCTCCGGGAAGGTCACCCTCCAAATGCCAACATTAAATTGTTACATAAGCAAGGAAAAAGCTTCTCTTGAGTTCTACCCCTGAGAATTGGGGGTTGTTTGCTACAGCAGTTAGCCTGCCCTGACTAACAAACACATGAAGCTTCTCTCCACAGCTCTCTCCTTTTCTCATTCTACACAGTTTGTGCATTTATCCACCAATGCCGTTATTTAAATTGCTAACATCCAATAACTCCTTAATCTGTATATCCAGCTCTGACTTCCCTTGCAACTTCCAGGCCTCTACTCCTAACACCCCTCATGGGGAGTTCCCTGGTTGTCGAGTGGCTAGGATTCAGCGTTTTCACTGCTGTGGCCCAGATTCAATCCCTGGTTGGGGAACTAAGATGCTGCAAAGTGCACTGTGTGGCCAAAATATAAATAAATAAATAAATACTCATGTTTCCCCCACAAACTGCTCACCTCTTTGCATTTCCACATAGTGATGTCAGCATCTCCTCCGTTTTCCAAGATAGAAACTTTAAGAATCTAACCTCATTCTTCCCCCATCACCTCGACAGTCAATTCGTTCTAAAAATCTTATTCTCTGAATAAATATATTTCAAACCTGACCTCTTCTTTCACCTTAGGCCAGACTCCCACTCTATCTAACTTGAACTAGACTAATGCTCCCATCTCAGGTCCCACTGCCTCTTCAGGCCATGCTCCTGGATGCCAGTTTCATTCAAAGGACAGATCTGACCTTGCCTTGGTTTACTTGAAAACCATTGTTTGCTCATTCATTAATCCATTTACCTCTCCATTCAGTAAACACATATCAGGTAGACATGTCAGGCTCTGGCCTCTGGAGCCACAAAGATGACAGGTGGACTTGAAGGGGCTACACCCTAATGAATGGGGGACACCTAAACATGATTATAGTCCAGGTGTTTGTACTGTCACTCAAGGTGCTGTAAGAGTGGAGGAGAAATACTCTATCTGTTTGGGATGGAGGCAGCAAGGGCGGCTTCGCAAAGGCAGTGACATTTGAACTACACCTTGATGGTTGAGAGGAGTTTGGCGGGAAGTCAAGATGTGTGTGTGGTGGGACAGGACGGGGGTGCGCAGGCTTCTGGCAGAGCATGCGCAAACGCAGGAGTGAGTATGTGGCCCTTTCCATGGCCGGCAGGTTTGGGGATCTGGGGCATGGTCCAGCTAGGCTGTCCTGAAGCCACTAGCTGGGCAGGCAGATGCTAAGCACCCCAAGGGGCTAAGGCACACAGGCACCCATTGGCAGCTCATTGCTGGGGACATGTAGATGGTCTCCAAAATACCCTGGGTTTTCTGATGGCTAATGGCTCGACCCCCAACCTCCCCAGAACAGGAGCAGAAATACGGATGCAGAGGAAAATGAGGCGTAAATGTCCATTTTCAGAAATGAAATGTCCATAGAACCATGCTCTGAGGCCCTTTTCCTGTCTGCAAAAGTGAATTACATTAATAGACTTCTCAAGACCGTCCCCATCCAAATCCTTCTTCCATCTGGAGTTTGCACTGGATGACAAAGTTGTATCTGTAACCATGATCTTAATGTGTACTTTTGAAAATAAAATAGAAACATGCATTTTAAAATATAAGATGAAGAATAATACACTGTATATGGTTGTGCGTGAGAGAGAATCCTGTTTTGTTTTCTTTTTCTTTTTTTGCGGTACGCGGGCCTCCCACTGCTGTGGCCTCTCCCGTTGTGGAGCACAGGCTCCGGATGCGCAGGCTCAGCGGCCATGGCTCACGGGCCCAGCCGCTCCGCGGCATGTGGAATCCTCCCGGACCGGGGCACGAACCCGCGTCCCCTGCATCGGCAGGCGGACTTTCAACCACTGCGCCACCAGGGAAGCCCGAGAATCCTGTTATTTAAGAAACTAGAATGTGCTGGTAGTTTTGCAAAAGAAGAAAAATGTTATTTTACTGTCAGGACAAAATTAGTATTTTCAATATTTTATTATTTATTTATTTTGGCCGGGGACGGGGGTGTGCAGGTTCGATCCCTGGTCAGGGAACTAAGACCCCTTGTGCCTGTGTGGCACGTCCAAGAAAGAAAAAGAAAAGGTGCCCAGGTTTGCGTGGTGAAGGCTGGATTTCCACCCCAGCTCGCCCAGGCATGGGTGGCAGAACTCCGGGAGGATCCGTGGCCACTTTCCGCCGCTTCTCTTCTCATCCCTCCTCCACACCCCCATGAACTGACCCACCTGGGGGCCCTTTCCCAGCCTCTGGTGTCCCCTCCAATCCAAACCACCTGGCAGTCACGCTCTCCTGGAGTTCCCGTGGCCTCTCCTTTTGTAGGTCAGTGTGTCTGCTCTCATCCACTGCTCCTCTGACTCAATAACTTCTTTGCAAATTTCCTCTTTGCCCTGGGGAAATACCAACGGACTCTGGTCCATGCGGTGCCCTGGGTTCTGGCCTGGGCTGGTCTCAGAGACAGCACAGTTGGGTCTTGTCCCCTCCTCTCCATCCCAGAGCCACAGGGATGCCCCTGGTTCTGGAGGCCTGTCACAGCTCACTCTCTCACTGACCCTCCTTGTAGAATGGAAGAGGGGATACAGACAAACACATTAAACTTGTAACAGCATCAGCATGACCTGGGACTTTCATGTGTGCACTGGGGAGCGGGGCCGTGGAGGGTGGGGGGAGGGGTGGCTTTGAGGAAGGAACATAGCGGCTGAGCTGAAGAGCCACACTTGGTCACACATGCAGTCTTTCTGCCAAGCCCTGCCACAGACGGAATTAAATCTTCCACCTCCACCCCATCGGAGCAAAGACGAGGGTGCCTATGTTCTCAGCACCTCCTGAGGGCGGCATCTCCTCAGCCTCTGCAGCCCTTCCTGCCCCCTCCCTCACTCATCTGTACTCGCCACTGCCCTTCACAAGCATCACCAAGTCCTCGCCTCTTGCACAAAAACTACATGCATGAGTGGACCCACGCAGATGCCGAGACTTCTAAGACCTACATCTGCCCAGAAACTCTTCTCACCTCTGCTCTTGGGAGAAGAAACAGCTGAAGCCTCTGGCTGCCTCGGTCCAGAGTTGGGGGAGAATGTGGTGGCTGGGACCGTGAGCCAGCCTAGGGTCCAGGGGCCGTCTCAGATGCACCTGAGACCACAGCTGGGTGACACCACCCAGCCCATACTCCAGGCTGGCCTAGCACAGAGCACTGGGGCCTGGAGTTAAAGGCAGTTCATGGGCTGAGCCGGTAGGACTGTCCTAATCCATGGGGCCAAATGTACTTTCCAGAGTAATCCTAAGGTGGGAGTTTGCTGGGTTGCCATTTTCTCTTCTTCCCAGACTCTGGTATTCCTGGGGAATCCTCTGAGAAATCGTAAGTCAAGGAAGTTTGGCCTTTACGGAGACACAACAGCTGGTTTCAAGGACAGAAGTGTGGAGAAAATGTGATGGGGAGAAGTGGGGGTTGATGAGGAAAGTTCGTTCATTCAATCTACAAGGGTTCAGTGGGTGTCAGCCCTGATCTACGTGCTGGGTGTGGGTGCTGTGTGGGCTGCTGGCTAGAAGAGCTGAATGAGGAGTCAGGGTGAAGATGCTGGGTGAAAATCCAAAGGGTGCTGGGTGAAAATGCTGGGTGATGATGAGGCTGGATGTGATGACAGGAGGGAAGGTGATGAAAGCGGGAACGATTCTGAACTCCAGTCTTATTATTCTCAAACGTTAAGGGGACTCCACATCTCCCTCTTCTGGCCCATCAGAAGTAGAGGTCTCCGCAGCCTCATCCTTGCTGCCCACCAGTGGCTCTTCCTCCTGCTTTAGGCTGGGGGATGGCGCAGGCTTTAGCTCCTCCAGCGCCACGGAGCCCTGGCGAGACTTCCGTCTACCAAAGAAAGTGGTAAGTGTGGGCCGCTGGCCAGACCCCTCCCCCTGGGGGACCCCAGAGTCATTGTTACCCCCAGACGCTCCCTCTGTTATTGTCGCGGCCTCCTCATGAGACACCTGGGCTACCCCAGACCAGGCACTTGCCACCCCGTTGTGTTTTCCACCCCTGCTTAGTGTCAGTACTCCTGTCTTCCGCTTCTGCCGCTGGCGCCACAGCAGGAGTAGTGCCATGAGGAAAATGACCACCAGCAGAGCCACAAGCACAGCTACCAGCAAGGTGCCATTTGCCTCCCAACCTGAATTTGGGGAGGACCTACTGCTAATGTTTGTGGAGGACGTTGGGTTGGATATTTTTACTCCAGTGATGGAGGAGCCACTGGTTCCCGGGAGGGTCTTCAGAGACGTAGTTGCCATGGTGACAGGAAGTCCACTGGTCTCCTTGGAGGTCTTTAGAGAGCTAGTTTCCATGATGACAGGGGGTCCACTGGTCCCATCAGAGGCCTCCAGAGAGCTAGTTGCTGTGGTGACAAGGGGTCCACTGGTCCCACTGGAGGTCTCCAGAGGGCTAGTTGCCATGGTTTCACCAGTCGTAGTGTGGAATCCTGCAGATTTCACTACTGGGACAGCAGGTATACTGGTTGCATTAGAGATTTCCAGGGGCATTGATAAGTTTTTGGCCGAATCTTTCTGGGAGCTTATTGACTCATTTACAGGAGGGCCCCTACTGGTAGCAATGGAAGTCCCAGGAGAGGAAACTTCATTGGCTGTATAGGGAGTTGAGGAAGGCGGGAAGATCTTGTGCTCAGTGCTGTCATCTGTCTTAGAGACCTCGGTTGTTGCAAAATTAGATGTCGTTGAGTTGAATTTTGTGGTCTCAGAGATATTTGAGACCAAAGAAACAGAGACCGCTGTGGGTTCCAACTTCTGCAAAGTAATTGTGCCATCCGGAGACTCTGAGCTCGTGTTTTGGGCCCAGACGCTCCCAAAGAGGAAGAGAAGCAGGATCATTTCCAGAGCAACAGGCATGAGCAGGAGTTGGGACCTGAGGGTGGGGAAGTTGAAGAAATAGAATACATAAGGAGCTGGGGGCGGGGAGCAGGACCCAGCCAGGCCCTCCCTCCTGCCCACTTCCCTGCCAACTGCCGGGCCCAACTCTGCGGTTCAACGGCTTTTTCCACCCTTGCTTTTACTAGTATCAGAAGTAACAGGACGCTGGCAGCTCCCCCATCGAATCTACCCCATAGACCCCCTTGGGCGTTGGCCGCCCCGGCTCCAGCAACAGCCACCCCCTCCCGGCCTGCGCTGACCCTATTCAGCCCCAATGGCTCCTCGTCCTCTTTTCCCACTATCTATCAAGGTCTTCTCAAGCCAGAGGCACATTCCCAGGTCCACTGAAGCCCCTGCCCCACCAGGTCACACCACTTACCAGCTCAGTGGATAAGGGCACAGGGCTGGGACCAGGCTGCTCCAACTCCTGAAGCTGGGGCCGGACTGGTGGAGGGGCCTCAAGGGGAAAGGAAGTGGCCCTGGCTCCACCCACCCCAGCATCCTGCCCCACCCGTCCTGCTCCTACATTGCCGTGTGATGAGAGAGGCATCACTCACTCTTTCAGGGTGTGAGATGATGACAGGGGCTCTGGGGTCTCAGCTGAAGCAGGTGGGGATGGTGGGCGGGGTCTGGAATGAGGATTCCCGGGACTCCTCTGGAAAATGGGATGGCAAGCCGTGAAGCTGGGATAGGGATATGTGTCAGAGCAGGGGTGGTGGAAATGCATGCTTGAGAACCAAGTGGTGCGGAGGAGGAGATGGGAGGGGAAGGTGGTTTCCTTTGCCTTTGCGGTCCCCGAGCTGTTAGCCAGCACCCAAGGCTAACACTTCTTCTGCCCCAAGAGCTCCCAGGAAGTACCAGGGCAAGAGGAAGCCCTCGACTCTGGCTGGGGCAGTGGAAGGCTTTGCAGGCTGTGTGAAATCCCTGGTGGGCTCTTGACTTCTCAAGAAGCTTGCGGGGGTAGGTCACTACAATGGCCCCCAGTCGTGGACTGCCTGACTAAATCAAGGTGGTTATTAAGCACTGTATATGCTATGATATTATTTTTGCAGAAGACTAATAAAAATGTGGGAATCTACGTGGAAGGCAGTCTGAAAAGGTATTCACTGAGGTCTTAGCAAGTTTCACTGGGTAGGTATGAGTAGAGAGTTCTTTACTTTCTTCTTTGGGTGTTTGATGTTTTCTTACTTTCCTTTAATTTGTAAGCTTTGACTCTCAGTATGTGTACGGTTTTTTGCCTTTCTTTTAAAAAAAATCAAAACTGATTTTTATGTTGTAAAAGTAATAATGCACGTACATGATAGATGATTGAAACAGGCCAATGTCAGGGCCTGGGATTGTACCCCACTCACAAGCTAACGAGTTAGTCTGACAAAGACGTGAGACTCCTGGATCACAGACATAGGAATCCACTACTCATTGCTCAGCAAACAGCAGGAGCGCCATCTGCTTCAGTTCCACTTGCCCCCCTGAGCCCCACAGGGGTGACCACGGAGAGGCTTTTGCCCCGCAGCTGAGGAACACTGAGCTTGGAGAATTTCCCTCTTTTCGAGTATGTGGTAAGCAAGCTTGCTCTTTGTCCTGAAGAGACATGACTTCATCCCTCAGCATTACTCACTGCAAATGCAACCTTGAGAAACGGCCTGGATGTAGAGCGGCCAGGACCTCGTATTGCGGGCATATCAGCAAGAGCGTGCAGGGAAGCTCGGGGCTGGGGTGGATTTGCCTCTCCCACCAGGCAGCAGTGTGTAAAGTGAAAAAGTTCCACACCGACGCCACCAGATAGACCCTGGTAACGGTATATATGCATATACACATGTATTTTTTATAGTATTAGATTTTATTATACATAATTTTCCTTGCTTTTCTTTTTTTTACTGAACAAAAGGAAGGAAGGAAGGAAGGAAAACATTTCATTGTCAGACATTAGGTTGTTTCAACATTTTGCTGTTGCAAACAGAAAAGTAGGAATAATTGGCTGCAAAGTAATTGGAGGTTAAAAAAATTTTTTTAATTAAAAAGAAAATCAACAAAAATGTTTATAAGACTGCATATAGGACTTCCCTGGTTGTGCAGTGGTTACGAATCCACCTGTCAGTGCAGGGGACATGGGTTCGAGCCCTGGTCCGGGAAGATCCCACATGCTGCGGAGCAACAAAGCCCATGCGCCACAACTACTGAAGCCAGCGCACCTAGAGCCCATGCTCCGCAACGAGAAGCCACCGCAATGAGAAGCCTGCGCACCACAACGAAGAGTAGGCCCCACTCACAGCTAGAGAAAGCCCGCGTGCAACAATGAAAACCCAACACAGCCGAAAATAAATAAATTAAATAAATAAAAAGACTGTATATAGATTCCCAATTTCTCAACCTTTAAAAAAAAATCACTGAAGGGCTTCCCTGGTGGCGCAGTGGTTGGGAGTCCGCCTGCCAATGC